TATATTTAACCCAGCATTTTTTAGAGTGTATAGTCTGCTAAATTCGGAACAACTAATTTTGTGCTTCATGCATTTTTGTTCATTCAGATAAGGATTTTTCCCCCCAGTTGGGAGTAGATTGAATGTGGTACACGGAGTCAGAGTCTTGCTGCTGTTTATTTAGGCTACATCAGTACAGAAATGTGGTCTGATGTGTTGATAAACAGCTTCTGCAATGGAGTTTGTGTATATTATTGGATGGTTTTGGTTTGTCGGTGTCTAAAAACTTACTGAGCCATATTGTGAAACTCTTCAGTATGGAGGAAGAGAAACATAAAAATATAATAATAGGTGAGGAGGACTTTAACGCAGAGTGGGCAATAGGCTTGGATGGGTTAAATGCAGAGCACTAATTCCTTGTATGGGCAACCATACTTGGCCACATGTCACTTCACTTTCACTTTTTCACTTTCACTTTTTATTGTAAGGAAAGAAATAAACAGAACACAACAAAAAAATCTCCCAGAAAGGGGGAAAACACAGTCCAAGCAGGCAGGAGGGAAAGTGTTCCACAACACTCTGGAAAGGCTGGCAGATTTTTTAGACTGATATTTGTATTCAAATTTGATCAGAATAAAATATCGGATCTGTTCATTAAAACTCATTTAAACATGGGACAGATATAAACACGCTTTTCTATTGAGTTAATGTGATCTTTTCATCATCAGTAACTGAAATAATCAAAGAGTTTTAACTCTATACTTCAGTGAAAAGTCTCATATACTAAATTCTACTGAATACATTAACAAACACACAACAGACTTAATCACACAAAATTGTATTTTTATAACACTAAAAATGTAAACTAAAAAATACTGTTATTAACAGTGGTTTTATAAACAAGAAGTGGAAGGAATGAAACGTTTAGACGGTAAGGTTCTCTCCTGTATGAACACAGAGCATCAGAGCACTGCAGTCTTCAGAAAAAAAATACTCTGAATTCAGAACACATTCACATCTTATCAGGTGACTATTTAAGCATGAACACTTCAAAAAAAAAAAAAAAGCACATGATGTAACGGTGTAATAGTATTAAACAAAATCATATATTAATTTACATTAATATAATGCAAAATTTTGCAGGTGCAACAACAAAGCCATCTCACGGTGTAACATCCTGCATTACAGTAAATCAGTCAAACTTGCTCTAAAATAACATAATATCATCAGTGCAATATCAGCATCAGCGCAAACAGCAAACTGTTACATCAACTTCATTATACATGAAAGCATGTTTCTCTATTCATGTCAAAGCAAATGAAAGTCTTCACTCATTAATTGCATATTACAAAAGTACAAATGGCTTGACTCAGTCACTCTTGTGTATAATAGTGACTATAAACTACTGCTGTTCTCTGTTTCAGCAGGTTCGGGCAATTCACTCATTTAAAAAAGTTGGTTATCCAGGCTATCCCCCTCATATCTGTGAGAAAATCTAAAAAAAATAAAAAATAAAAATCTAGTAAGTCCAAAAGAGAAAAACAAACAGTCTGAACTCATCATATAACACTCATGCAGCATTGTCATAATGTTGTTTAATAAATGAATTAATGAAGCCACAGTAACAAATATGAAATGCTAAGGGGTTGTTTGAAGAATGAAGCTGTTGTTAAAACCAGTAAATGACTTTCTTTTAAACTGCAGTATCTTCTCTTATTTTCCAAAAAAAAAAACCCATCTCAAATCTTTGTAAGATGTAGTCAGAAAAAAAAAAAAGTCAGTGAGAAAAATCATTTACACAAAAAGAGATGAAGTTAAGGTCGGCTCTATCTTTATATTTGTATTAATGATGTTAATGTCATGATGTCTGAATGAACAACAGGAATGAATCCATATCACACGCATCTTACATAGTTTCTTCTTCTTGATTGTCTCGATGCTGAAAGCAAACAGATTTTAATTTACTGTAAATCCTTTGTTACAGGCAGGCAATAACCCACTTAGACACGAAGAGTCATCTAACTGAGTACTAATGTAAAGTAGCCAATCACAGTTTTATTTAGTTTTTATGTGCCAGAAATGTGTCTAGACTCTGTCCAACAGTAACAGACATCACAGACATAAAGCAGAATATATAGTTCTGCTTGTATATTGTTACTAGTTTCTGAACCAAAACTCAGATTTGATGCCACAACCTTTGAAAACAGTCATTTCATACTCAAAAATGCTCACTTTATTAACCTGGTAACTTGTAAACAGACAGACTGATAAAAACCCCTGTGTGCTCTGATCAAAAGGTCCATAAACCAGCATAAACCATGTTGCTCAGAAACGCAACAGTTGTTATGGATTGCATTAAAAAAAAAGAAAAAAAAAAGAAAGAAAGTTTCCAAAATGTAATTCACTTAATACTTCTTGTTTGTTTAACGTTTGTATAAAGACTTTTTTATTTTGGTAAAAGTTTTTGCACAATTCTACATTAAATTCTGACTGCGCACAGCAGTATCAAAAGAAATAAAATGATAAAGTGAACTGATTGCATTTAAAGCAGGAAGTTTACATCACATTAATGATGTTAAATAAATCAGACAATACACCAGTAATTTAGTGCTATCCCTGCAGTTGTGGCCTTGACCAGTTTTGAAATTAAATCCTGAGTCCTCTATTGTCTGAGACAAGACGGAGTACAAATGTGGTCGAGACCAAGACAAGACCAAGACCCTTAAAAAAAAAAAAAACCCAAGACCAGTCTCGAGTACAACAACACTATCAGAAAGACACACGGTTTAGTTTTAAAAAGCACAAGGTCAGAGCTTTCTTTAATACTTGTGTGTTACTTTTGTAATGCTGTTTAGAGAGTTTTATTGATTTGTAACGCCGTTTAATATTGAATATCTTTAATACCATCATTAGTATGAAGGCACATCATACTCCTACAAATATAAACATGCTAAAAAGATTTAGAGATCAAACACTATCGTAATATCTGCAGAAACTGTCAAGTTTGAATTTTCTACAGACTCACAGAGACGCAGCTCACAGTAGATCAGAATCTGCCCTTCATCTGTAACTGTCTTAATGACAATCAAACTTTTAGTTTTTTTTCCATATTATATGAACGGTTTGTGTGATACTTACACATGCTGCTTTCTAGTTTAGAGATCTTGTGGTGATGGTAAATCTGAACAGCAGCTACAACTACAGCTGCAACCACCAGAATAACAACAATCCATACTCCAGCACCTGGAAACAGACCTGAATCTTGAACAGATAAAGAGAGACAGTCATTAGTGTGAAAGTGTGTCTGATCTCTAACAAACACTAGAAACATCAGCACTATATAACCTGAGTGAAGACCTGATACTGTAATGATAGAGAGAGACAGTCACAAACTGTATGTTTAGACTACATTTGTGTGTTTATGTGTGTGTTACAGTATGTATACCCGTAAGTATATTTACTAAGTAAAATGCAAGTGGACTACTGTAATATAAAGTGTAACAGTAAGTATACAGCATTACAGTACTGTGCAGATTGTTGAAATACCTGTTCTGTCTACAAAATGCTTGATTGATTGAGGATATGGCTGTTTTCTCAACATTCGGCTTCAACTATTGACCCACCTTGGGCACAGTAAGGTAATGATTGAGAACATGATACACAATTTGAAAGGATACACAAATTAGAAACGCATCCATGTCCTCAGCCTCTTCTACTGTTCTGCCTCCCTATTAGTGGTGCAACAACACCCTCATGTCACGATTTGATTCGTGTGAACTTATAATACTATCACAATATTTTAAGCCAAAGCAAACGTTTTTTTTTATTTTGTTTTTTTTATTATTATTACTTCTAAGACATTTGGTTCAATACATATGCTTGCACTCTGTCACTGGCTACATAGAAATATATCCTTTTTTACTGGTAAAATCAGACATTTGGCATAATCAGAAGTATACACACTAAGCATAGTTAAATGCACATTTTGTTGTATATATAGATATTTGAAATAAATGAAATAAAAAAGAAATGGTAACAAAATGCTTAAGTGCAAGTCTTCTCTTTATAACACCATTTTCAGGTCTCACTGTAATCATAATGTGGCATAAATGTAAAAACTGACACCTCAGTTTAAATGAAGCGATACACTTTGACTAAATGTGCTTGATTTTATAATATCTAAATGTAAATTCAAAAGGAAAACCTGTGAAAACAACTATATTTAGTGAGTGGAATGAGCGGTACTCTGCTGCTATCTAGTGGTTACATACAGTGTTTTTAACCTTTATAACTCCAACTTTTGCCCAATCTCCATAACATTTTGTATGCTTGTTTTGAATCATATGACGCATTTGCTTACCTAATTTTGTGAAGTTCTGAGTTTTCTTTTAGATTTATAGGCTTTTGGGTTCACAAGATTAAGCCCATATTTTTAAATGGCCCTGTTATAACTTTCCAAATGCAAAAGTTCAACATATTTTTGATAATTATTGACATAGAGAGTCCAGAGAATTGTACTGCCCTGGTTTAACTGATGTTGAATGCAAAACGTAGGACTACTTTGCAAAAGTATGATTTTTAAATATCTAAAATATTTAACAAACAGTTTGATTAACAGCAGGGGTTCTTGAGGCAAAGTTGTTCACAGTGAGGAGATCTATTATACAATATGAATGTTGTGTATGTGTGAAACGCCATGTGATTACAGAGGCCTCCCCGGTGAGTGATTTCTTTCTGATCTCCGATCAGCCTGTTAACCTTGTCTAATGGGTGCTCAAATTTCACAAAGCTGGCATAGACTCCAGCATCCCCAAATCCACAGGATAAGCGGTTTGGAAGATAGATGATATCTTGTATTATTTTTCAGCAAACCTCTCTGAGAGGCCGACAAAATAGAAATACAAATGTTATGTTTAACTATTCCAATGAAGTGTAGAGTTGTGAACACTTGTGTTCTTTTAACTTTATTGTTCTTAGAGCTCTGATCTAAATAAGTTCACCTTTATATTGACAGATTTGATCTACTCACCAGTGACAGTAACAGTGATTCTTCTGAGTATGACGTGTCTGCTGCTGCTGATTTTCAGTTCATAAAGTCCAGAGTCTGTGGTTGTGGTGTTTGTGATGTTCAGACATCCAGTCTGATGATCCAGCTTCAGTCTGCCTCTGAATCGCTCATCAGGACCATCATATATGTAGAATTGGGCTGCTTTATAGATTTCAGCTATGACAATCTCTCCAAAGATCCACAGTATCTGATCATCTTTCTGTATTTCAGAAACATTAGTCTGTAATGTAACGGTTTCTCCCTCCGTCACTATCTCTGACTTCTCTGCATCTGTCACAACAACAAACACATGAAGAACAGTGAGAAACAGCGACTCAGACATTAAATACATACAGAAAGATTTTTTACATTTCACTTCACAAATCTCAGTGAGCCTTGTCTATTAAAGCTCATTTTACTTTCAGTTGTTTAATTTTCAATTAATTAATCAAATAATTAATTTTTCCTAGTTTAATTTCTACAGCACCACTTTAATGTTCAGAAAAGCACATTTCAGGTCTAACAGGACATTTCTTTCAAATGCATGACAAAGAGAAGAGAAATGTGTTCATCTAATCAAATAGTGCATATAAAACTGAACACAACAAGAATAATGAACAGATAGAGAAATTAAAAGTGTCTGTCACACACTTTCAAACACTTCACACTCCACACTTTACTTCTTTGAAAGTGTTACTAAACTAAAAGCACCACAAACTGTTTCTTAGCTTTAAACAGTTAATTTAATGCAAAGAACTGTTTTGTTTTCCCATCTTAAGTATTCACACATTTTTACATTGATGGACTCACCGCTGACAGTCACATTGAATGACTTGTGTATGGTGTGTTTGATGCCAGTACTGGGAATGCCAGCTTCATAAAGTCCAGAGTGTCTGTTTCCAATGTTCCTGATGGTCAGAGATCCAGTCCGATAGTCCAGCTGTAGTCTGTGTCTGAATCTCCCATCAGCACCATCAGATGTGTTGAAGATTCCAGCTATTCTGTTGATTTCAGCTACAGGAGAGTTCTGATGATCAAACCTCCACTGTATCACATCACATATTTGTGTATCAGGAACATCAGTGTTTAGAGTGACAGAATCTCCCACCAGCACTGACACTGACTTCACTCCAGTACCTCTCACACCTGAAGAACAAACTGTTTCTCTGTCAGTCATCACTTTTAGAACAGTCACTAAACAGTTTTAACAGAGATCATCGAGTCTTGTCAAATAAACATCATGCAACTTTCTGAAGTATAATTTTTATTTATTCAATGGTTTTTAACTCATCCAAAGCAGATTTCACAGACACACACATACTACAAAAGTTTATTATTTTTTTTTAGGAAAATTGACGCCTATAAAGGTAATTCATTAAAAACATGAATTAATCTGCTTATATATATATATATATATATATATATATATATATATATATATATATATATATATATATATATATATATATATATATATATATATATATATATATATATATATATATATATATATATATATATATAAAAAATCTGTTTTCTATTTTTAAAAGTTAAAAACTCCATTTGTACCTGTGTTAGTGAAGCCCGCTGTTAATGAAGCCTTAAATACACTTGCAAGTCAGATTCTGGTGTAAAAATGTCCAGACACAAGCACATTTCTGCAGAAACACATCAGTCTGATGTTGTTTTGATATTTGAAGGCTGTTCCACACACTACTGTCTTAAAATACTAAGTTTTATGTTAAAACTTTGTTTTTTTTACAAAAAATAAATAAATACAGCTCATTCAGTCAAACTGATAAGAGTCATTTGTAGTGCAACCTTATGATTTGAAATGATTTGTTTCAGCCTTAAAGCACAGTACGCTCTTTAGGAAAAAGGTTGATACATAAAGATACATTTGCATATACAGGAACATAATCACCAGTTTTTGTAAATGTGACCAATTACATTTGTGTTAAACGCCAGGGCCCAAACCCTCCATCTGCTGTAGGTGAACCAAAAACAACTGATAGCAGCTCTCAGTGATATGTGTCGG